AGGAGGCAAGACTTGGAAAATCAAGTGTCCCAACTGATGAAATAAAATAAGAACTTAAGAAAAGGTCATTGAGAGACCTGCCAGCTGGTCTGGCTTGGTGGTTAAGCACCAACCTATGAACCAGGAGGTCACAGTTTGATTCTAGGTCAGAGCACATGCCTGGGTTTGGGGCTTGATCCCCAGTAGGGAGCATGCAGGAGGCAGCCAATTAATGATTCTCTCTCATCATTGATGTTTCTATCTCTTCCCTTCTCCCTTCCTCCCTGAAATCAATAAAAAAAAAAATTTTTTTTAAGAAAAAGGCATTGAATGTGGTTAACAGGAAGCCACCAGATCCCTGGAATGGCCTTCACTCATTCAACAACTACTTGAGTATCTATAACATTGTGCCAGGACAATACTAGGTTTCCCATGCCTGAGAGGACTAGGGGAAAGGCAGGAGTCAGAAAGCATTAAGAAGGCAGTAAAGTCGGGCCAGTGTGGCTCAGTGGTTGAACATCAAACTACGAACCAGGAGGTCATGGTACAATTCTCACTCAGGGCACAGATATCAATAAAAAAAAAAATTCCCAGTAGGGGGCATGCATGCAGGGGGCAGCCAATCAACGATTCTCTCATCATTGATGTTTCTATGCCTCTCTCCCTCTCCTTTCCTCTCTCTGAAATCAATAAAAACATATTTTTTTTTTTAAAAAGAAGGCAGTACAATCTCAGTCACTCATGTAGAAGTATTTTTACTGATAGATCACCTAGGGCAAGGGAAACAAAGAAAAAAATTAACAAGTGGGATTACATCAAACTAAAAAGCTTTTGCACAGCAAAAGAAACCATGAACAAAATGAAAAGGGAACCTACTAATAGGAAAACATATTTGCCAATGATATATCTGATAAGGGTTTAATTTTAAAAATATACAAAGAACTTATACACCTCACAACCAGGAAGACAAACAATTCAATTAAAAAGTGGGCAAAGAACCTGAATAGACACTTCTCCAAAGGGGACATACAAATGGGCAAGAGACATATGAAAAAATGCTGGAAGCAACTGATCATCAGAGAGA